GGGGAGGAAGGGGGGTGGGAGATGCAGGAAGAGATTGGACAAAAATCGTGCACCTATGGATGAGGACAGTGGGTGGGGAGTGAGGGTGGGGGTGGGGCGGGAACTGGGAGGAGGGGAGTTATGGGGGAAAAAAGAGGAACAAATGTAATAATCTGAACAATAAAGATTTAAATTTAAAAAAAAAAAATACCACAAACTGTGTAGCTTACACAACTGAAATTTATTTTCTCACAGTTCTGCTAGCTGGAAGTTGGAGATCACGATGTCAGCAGGTTTGCTATCTTCTGAGACCTCTCTTTTTGGCTTGCAGATGACCACCTACTTGATATGTCCTCACCTGGTCTTTCCTCTCTGTGTACCCATGTCTGGTGTGTCTCACATTTTCTTAAAGGTACAAGATGTACTGGATTAAGCCCCACAGAAGACCCCCTCATATTACCTCAATTACTTCTTTAAAGATCCTATTTCCAAATACTGTCACATTCTGAGATACTAGAGATTCTGATTTTAACGTATAAATTTTTTTTATCCGAACAATAAAGATTTAATTTAAAAAATTAAAATAAAATGAAGTGTACAATGCAGTGGTTTTTCTTATATTCAGAGTTGTACAGTCTAACAATTACCACTATCTAATTTTAGGATCTTTCCTTTTTCTTTCTTTCTTTTTAAAAAGACATGCTCAGCCCTAGCTGGTTTGGTTCAGTGGATAGAGCCTGGACCTGCAGATGGAAAGGTCTAAGGTAGCAGTTCTCAACCTGTGGGTCGAACGACCCTTTCACAGGGGTCGCCTAAGACCATCGGAAAACACATATATAACTACATATTGTTTTTGTGATTAATCACTATGCTTTAATTATGTTCAATTGGTAACAATGAAATTGGGGGTCGCCACAACATGAGGAACTGTATTAAAGGGTCACGGCATTAGGAAGGTTGAGACCACTGGTCTAAGGTTTATTTCTACCTCAGTTGCTGGCTCCTACCCAGCCTGGCCCTGGTCCGGGCTTGGGCAGGAGGCAACAACTGATGTGTTTCTCTCACATCGATTATTTCCGTCTTTCCCTCTCTCCCCCACTCTCTCTAAACATCAATGGGAAAATATCCTCGGGTGAGGATTAAAAAAACAAACAAAGGTGGGTAACCTGGTCAGAAGGTCAAATCTTCAAAGTGCATGCAAGCTGCTCCTCCCAGGGGGTCCGGACTGAGTGTTTTTGAGCATCTCCAGGAAGGCCTGTGGGGACGGCGCCTCCACATTCTGGAAGGTGTTCTGGACTCTGCCGAACAGGAAGAAGTATTTCCCCTCCAGCCAGATGAACCCGAAGTGGTCCTCATCGAACAGGATGAAGGCTCCAGGTAAGCGCCTGGTATAGGAGAAGCCACGGAAGCCAACAGAAACAGTGTCCACGCCGTAGAAACACATCCTGCAGGTTCGGGGGTAGTTCTGCTCACTCGAGCGCACGCCCACAGGCAGCACAAACCGGACAGGCTGCTCCTCCGAAGCGGCCGCCCCGGACTCCCCGGCGCTGGGCTGGGCAGGGCTCTGCCAGCCATGGCCCTGGCTTTCCGCAGCCCCGTCTTCTTGCTGCTGCTGCTGCTCCCGGGTCACCTGCTCCTCCATCTCCCGGATCACGCGGGCGAGCTCCTGGAAGGTGCGGAAGAACGCGCCGTACTGCGGTCCGTCCTCCGGCCCCCGCCCCCGCCCCGGTTCTCCCCTAAGCCGCGTGGGTGAACCCGTCCGGTGGTCTGTGCTCTTGCACTGGATGGTGAGCCTGTCCCCCTGGAGACAAAATCATGGTGCATAAAAGTAAGAGTATAAAATTTCTATATTCTAATACTATATAGTTAAATGTTTATCCTAAGTAGACTGTGAAAAGGTAAGTATATGTTTTTTATTTCCTAGAGAACCGGATGCGGCGCCTGAGGTGGATCTCTAACATCCCGCTGGAGTCTCCCGTGATATTGGTGACCCTGGCGTACTTCCCATGGAAGCTGAGCATGGCGATCTTTAGGCTGAAGGCATCATAGTAGTATTGGAAGAGGCCTGGCCGGATGGGGTCGTCCGGGTGGCGCGGCGGGAGGTAGAGGCGGCGGTAGGTCAGGCAGTCGTACTGCGGTCCGTCCTCCGGCCCCCGCCCCCGCCCCGGTTCTCCCCTAAGCCGCGTGGGTGAACCCGTCCGGTGGTCTGTGCTCTTGCACTGGATGGTGAGCCTGTCCCCCTGGATCTGCACGTGGCCGTGGTGGGGCCTGCCGAGGAGGCCCGCCAGGCACTCCAGCGCGGCTGAGTTCCGCTCCGTCAGGCGAATCCTGAACGAGGGCTTGAAATGTATTGGGCCACACACATGGGTGTTAAGGGAAGGCCTGTACGACCAACCAGTAATGCACAAGCCGTCCACCACGACATGCAGCAGTGTTCTATAGCTATAATTTAGCTGCCACAACCCCAAAATGTGTCTGTACGGAAACAGCTTCGCATAGACTTCTCGGTAAGACATACCAGTCATCTCCGGGTTCTGCAGGTTCTCACGAACGCCGAACTCCTCGCGGCAGCGCCGTCTCCAGATGCTGTCGGTGTGCAGGATGTGGTGGAATTTGGTGCAGGCCTGGGCCAGGCTGGCCAGGTCGGTGCCGGGGAGCGAGGCAAAGATCCCCACCAGAATCAGAACAGGTTCGCATAGACTTCTCGGTAAGACATACCGGTCATCTCCGGGTTCTGCAGGTTCTCACGAACGCCGAACTCCTCGCGGCAGCGCCGTCTCCAGATGCTGTCGGTGTGCAGGATGTGGTGGAATTTGGTGCAGGCCCGGGCCAGGCTGGCCAGGTCGGTGCCGGGGAGCGAGGCAAAGATCCCCACCAGAATCTCCACTGGCAGGTCCTGCAGTGAACAGTGCGGGGGCGGCGGGGGCAGGGGCGGCTTGGGGCTCGCGATTCCTCCACTCCCAGCACAGCACCGCACTGCGGCGTCTGCCTCGACCTGCTTTTCTGCGGGGGCCTGATTGCCATCAGCTGCTACGGTCTCAGCTGGGCTCTTCTGATGACACTTACAACCCCGTAAAGAGCCCACACCGCAGAGGCAAGCGCACTCCTCCATGCCTCCAGGTGTAATAGACACTACAGCCTGGACTGCTGTGCCTCAGACAGGCTTTAAACTGGCTTGTGCCACCCAGTTCAGTCATGCCCCCAGGGCCTAGCCACACCCCCTTAGAGAGGAGCCAATTGTAGGACTTTA